GCTTATTGAAGACACATAGATTTGCAAATCTCTCACCATTTTCGTTTCTTTCTCCCAGTCCGTGTCGTCCCATGATGTCTTCATATCTGGTGTTGTCCATTCTAACCTTGGCATTTAAATCTCTCATCAGAATGTTCACGACCTTTGTTGGGCCTATTATAGAACTGATCTTCAGTGTCTTCATTGTAGTCGTTGGTAGGCGCATAGCATTGGGTGACGTTGATTGAAATACCCTATTTCTTTGTTTTGAAGGAGGCTTCGATGATCCTTGGTCCATGAGATTCCCATCCCATAAGTGCATTTCGTGCTTGCTTAGACAGCATCAATGCAACTCCTTGTGTTTGGGGGGCATTTTCCTTATCATGGCCGGAGTATAGCAGGAGTCCCCCTGAAGTTAGTCGTTGTTGTCCAACTTGCGTCCAATGTGTTTCACTGATCCTAAGTACCTCTAGGTTGTATCTCCTCATTTATGTAGCAATTTGGAGGACTCTCCCGGTCTCCCACATTGTACGAGTATTCCATGTACCTAAATAAGTTGTTGTTCTGGTTGTCAGAAGTGTTATCGGCCTCGTAACTTCCGAAGGAATTCGGCTTTCATCATGAGGCGTCATAATTCTTCTAAATGAAGACCTTCTGACTCCCAAGGCAGAGTTTAAAAGGTTTGAATAATTTTTTCTGGTCAGCGTTTTTTCAGCGAGTTATTTTTCTACGGGATGGGGACGCTAACCCCATGCCCAACCCTCCTCCTTTATCCGGGCTTGGGACCAGCAGTAGCCCTCGGAGGGACTTCAGGCGGAGTTATAATAAAATATAATATAATATAAATTCACTTGGTGTTGTTTTACTTGTATCTTCACCCGATTGCACAAGCTTGTGGCTATCAGGACTCTGTAGCTAGATGGATAACGCGATGGCGTTTGTAGAGAACGGTATTTGACTCTGGCCTTACAGTGAACATCTAACCTGAGATGCATGAACATCCAGCTGACGAGTCTCAAAGAGGACGAAACGCGCGTCTTTGTACCCACTGCTAGCCACTGTCCATCTTTGCCTATAGTATGACATGCATTGTGAATTCAACATTTCAGAACTCGTGCCACTTTACAGGCATTAAGTATTTAATATACATGGTAATATCATATGTATAAACCAAGTATGTTAGTTAAGACTTTTTAATGTTTTTTTTAGTTTGATAATATTTTTCTCTAGTACATTCATCACATATGTTAGCAATGAAAGGAATCAGCCAGAATGTTTCATTTTTTCAAGTTCAGATACTGTTGATATGTAACAGCTTAGGTTGGTTGGTTAAGAGTTGACCCCAAACAACCAAGCATATTCCAAAACAGTATTGTTCAAGTATTCATTCACTTCCTTGTTTTGTATAAGCGTTATATTCCCTATTATCTTATATTGAATGTTGAGAGCCTTTGTTTGTCTGAACAGATAATCCCACGCTCCACTGTGACCGCGCTAAGATCGAAATAAAGACCTATTCACTACTTGTCTGGTTTCTTCTATCAGTAGCACGAGGGTCACCTTAAGGCACGAAAGATATATGAATGGTGCGTTTAAGGTCATTTCCTGCGCCATAACGAATCGAATATAACAATCTACAGGTAAAGAATATAAGACAAAGGCAGAGACCATGGAACATAGAAGGCATTATTTACTATGATAGATTAGTCAGGTCTACCCTGATAAGTATATCAGGTTGTTTCATGACCTACATTTCGTGTTTGATAGTATTCAGGTAGGTTAAGATTGTTAGGGACGAAGTGCAAACCAACAACAGGTCGATAAGTTTACTTAGTGAGTTCAGTATTATAAATGTCTATAATCTCACTTGTGGAATAAGAAACACTTGTGGTGGCATTAGACACTAACCACACGTCCTTTGAAGCCGGGCATATAACTGCTGAAAATATTTATATTCAACAGTTGGCACGAGGAGAAGGTTAACAATGGAGAACTCGGGAACATCCATGACTTCAGTCGGGTGGCATGGCTCAGCCTCACAGACGTGGTCATTCTGTACAACTTGTATTTATCCACATTAGATATATTATCTTATCTCCAGCTTAAATGTGTTCTTCAAAAGTACTCAGTATCATATTGTTAATTGTTACGACACGATGAGTAGACAATGATGTGATTCCCACGTAAGATATTATAGATTAGGCAGTCACGTTATGACACATCTACAACTCTAGGATTAGGTCTATTATTGAAACAGTATTAATAACGAAGAAGAACGTAATTCTACATCCTCATAGGTGTAAGTACATCTAAAGCATTTTCAGAGGATAGGTGAGAACCGATGCAGCAAACAGAGATAAGAGTGATTTCATCTCCCGGAAAGATTTCTGTAAATTATTCTAGGGTCTGGAAAATTTAGAATACGTTTGTTCCATCAATAACAAATAGTTACGGATGCTATGATAAGAAATTTACGCATACTGAATTCCTTGACCGGGTGTAAAGGATAGTTTATTAAGCATTTTGAAGAATACTAGGTTTAGGTTGAGTCTCATCTTCCACAAAGGGTTGAGTGCAATCCTGTTACATCTGAACTTACAATTTAGGGTACAATCAGTCCAAAGAATGATAAGTGTAAATCGTTTCTGAATGGGTTCTAGCCTTAATATATCCTTAATAAGAACACTATTAAAAAATAAACGTTCAGTATTACAGGAGTGGCCAAACACATACTCTATACATCAAAATAAGTGACTCGTTGTTGTCAAGGTTATGAGTTAAGCAACCAACAAGACGTTGGGACTAGGAGTTCTGTTTCGTTGCCTGTTCTGTGAAAGATAGATTGTAGGAGTACCTACGTCTTAAGTCTACTATTGTTTGTAACCTAGATGACTCTTCGCCGTTTATGGTAAGACCTTAGTTGAGCGATATATTTCTGAAGTGCATCCACCCATATTTAGCCGCGTTAGACTCCAACTGCTATGGCACACACCACTTGGTTACCTTGTCGAGATCCATACTGGTTCAATTTCGTGTAATGTTCAGTTAATCATGAAGATATGAATAAACTATTTTACGATCATCTGCATATAGATTAGGCTCAATCATAAGAAAGCAATCGCAAATATAATTGATATAGGCTAGAAAGAGCAAACGATTAAAAACACTACCTATTACTACACATTTGACCATTTGGTGTCGGTGGCCGAAGAAAGAATTAAACCAAACAAGCAGATTGTTTTCAGTCCCGTAAGATGGGAATTCGCCTATAAGAAGCTTATCGTTAGCTATGTCTAAAGATTTAGAATTGTCAACATATAGCACTTGGACTAGATAACCTTGGTTAAAATGAGTAAAAACTAAATTAAAGAATTGAAAAAGGAAGGTCAAACAAGATCGATCTTTAAGAAATCCGTGTTTAGAATCATCAATAAATTTTTCAGTGAATAAATAGCTGGAGAGTACGACGCTAACAGTTTTTTTCATAATCTTCCAGATAACTGAAGTGGAATACATGAGCCCATAATTGTTAATGTCATTCCAATCTGCAGATTTGTAAGATGGTACGATATGTGAGGTTTTTCAACATTAAGGGCAAGTGCCTGTTTTCAGAGAAAGCGAGTAAACATCTTTAGAAGAAGCAGTGATATGTATAGCCCACCATATTTGTAGAGGACGGATGAAAGCTTGCCTTCCACGCGGATCTTTGAAAACTTAAAGGATTTTATAAATGTACCAGTTTTAGGCATGTAAAATAGGTATATTTTCTTGATCCATATAAGTGGTTTTATCTACGACTACACAAGCACTCCTAAGCTTCGTAAGTGTGCAAATTAACCGTTCGGATTTATTCCGTTTTTCAGCTAATAAATGTGAATCGAATCTAAAACAGTTAGGGTACAAGAAATTCTGGTGCTCTGTATCAAGGTAAATACATAGGCATGGACTATCTTTCACGAATTTGAGCGTCATTTTGTCAGGTAACTATAGATAATCGTGTTATTATTATGGACTATTCGCTTTGCAAATTCGCCAGCGATAAAATCGGCCAAAGTTGCTGCTTTGATAATGACTTCAAGGTCCACAGGAACCACGTTCTTCAACAGCGGTAGCATAAAGGATGACCAGGCCCTCATTTCTTGCTTGAGGTCATCATGTCTTGATGAGGAGTCTGCAAGTGACTCCACTTCAGATTGCGTATTGTCTAATTTCCTGTACACGATATTTAATTCACTTCGTACACTATCGATGCAAATGGATCTCAATGTAGGACTAACAAGTAAATTAAATACTGAGTCATCCAGCAGCTTCTGTGGCTGGTTCTAGGAATAAGGGTTTCAATAACTAAATGTATTCTTTTCTTCATATATAGAAGAAATACATCCTAATAACTGATGCCGCTCTTTTGATAGCCAAGGTGGACCCCAAGAAACGAACGGTTTGTTACTTCTGTCCAGGAAAGTTTGTTTGGTGAACTCGTGGCGTGTGGGTTTTTCTTTGAGATATCGCCCGTATTCTCATGTTTGAACTTTATTGTGAGCTGATCTTGAATGTTACAAGACGATGGTGTAGAGCTCAAGATAGCATTTGTTGATTAAAATGGATTTTTCTACATCTACTCATTAGTTTTTACTATTTTTATATGTGCTTCTTGTAGACCATTAGGCTAACCCATAACGACCCAAGCTCCCAATTTTGGGGAAAATTTGACCCATTTTCGGGGATGTAAAACGAACATGTGACGAACGAATTTTAAGATTTGAAATTCTGCAGAATCTCAGGCCTAATTTCAACACATGATCTGTAACGTCACCTGCTAACCTTTTTCAATGATTTCTCATAATATTTTTACCTGAAAAACTTGATCTTCAGTAAACTTTCAAAGATTCATTTTTCCATAACAGTGTTTTTGTCTATCCAAGTTCGATCTCAAAGACCATCGTTGACTCCTCATGGCGGTTCACAAAATAGAACTAATTTGTCTTTCATATCGATTTTACATCTAGCATTTTGTTTAAATTTCTTAATCTGTCCTTGACATCAATAAGCGCTTCCCCAGGTTGTTTCGTTTTCTTCGTTACTGGCTCGACGTGTGGCTCCCTAATGGCGTCGGCTAGTGATCTTTTATCAACCTTCAAGAAGGATTTGGAGAATCTCAAAGACAATGATAAATACAAAATAAATGCTTTGACTATCTTTGCGCGCGATCATAAAGATACCATTGGGGTTGCTCAGAGCATTGTGGATCTTACCCTTAAGCATGTTCAAATGGTGAGTTATTTAGTATCTTCTACTTGTTATGTCCTGTGCACAACTGTACAGATGAAAAAAAGAACAATAAATGTTTTTGTCAGTTTTGAATTTTTTGTATCATATGGGTGCTGGGTTTGGGCGAAGCGATAACTAATTGCTTAAGCGCTTAATCTAGCCTTCGTATGCGATTTGTCTATTGATAGTCGTGTAGAACCTCGTGAGACGCATATTAATTAGGTAGCGTTGTAGGTTTCACGAAAAACGAGTTGTTTTTGGAATACAGTTATCAAACCTTTTATTACAGATACCGGCAGGATTGAAGCTACTTGGCTTGTACGTAATCGACTCAATAGTTAAAAACGTAGGTACACCCTACAGAAAGTTGTATACCGTGGATATTGTCGATGCCTTTGTGCATTCTTTCCAATCGGTAAGTTACTACGCGGAAATTGTCTTAATACTCTATTTAGATACGAGATGAGAAGGGGCGGTTGAAACTGTACAATTTGAGGACAACATGGAAAGATATATTTCCAAATTCTAGGATGTATGAATTGGATATTCGAGTGCGTGAGCATGATCCAGCTTGGCCTCTTTTAGCCAGCGCTCCTGAAGCGAAAGCTGCGTTTAGATCTTTACCAAATGTCCCAAAAATACAAACTAAAACGGAACCTGTGGTAGTTAGTGTAAAGCAGGAAGCGAAGGAAACTTCTTTGACAACGAAAACCGTCATCTCAGCTTCACGTGATCCGCGGCTTAATCGGAAACGAAAGTCACCCCAAGAATCTCATTCATCTGAAGAGTACCTTATCGATCGTTCAGGAGATCAAAATATGGAGTCAGTTGCTCGAAAACAAGGTAAACAGGCGGATGCTAGTGAGTTGTCTAAGAAGGTTATGTTGTTCGGTGGTGAGGACTGTGATATGCGTTCACAAAACACAGTACCACCTTCTCCTGCTAGATCATCAGGTTGGTCAGATTACATTGGAAAGCATAGTGAAGTCTGTTCTCGGCGAGAAACGAAAGACATAGATATGCGTTTTGCTCCGTCAGACCCTCCACTTGCCTGTTCTCCAAGTTTCAGTATTTCTGAGAAGATATCGAAAGGACCATTAGATGTGTTAGCTATTAATAAACCTGACGCCGTAACACCAATACCTCCTGTGTCCAGGTACGACACAGAAGAACGCCTTCCACCGAGTGAAGTACAGTCTGGAAAAAGTTTCGGTAATTGTAATCCAGACATAAAATTACGTCCTGAGATTTTAAAATCTGAAAATATTCCACCTCGATACTCCAAAGTAGATAATTTCGTCCCAGTGAAGGAACATCATCCACCACCTCGCATTGCAGATTTCCCCCGAGATAGACCACAGTTAAATTCATCCTTCCAGCCACCTACAATCCCACCTATCCGTGGGCCACCGATTCGTGGTCCTGTATGGAGTGTTGAGATCAATGGATTTCCAGACATGGTTAATATTGGCGTCGATCCACGAATGCTTAGTCTTGTAACTCATCCCAAGCCACCAAGACGGATAACTATTGATGGTCAACAGTTCACACTGTTATTAGATAGAGTTCAACCATTAATAGCAATTGGGGATCGCATACATGCTGTACGATTCCGGTGTGAGTTTGCTACTATTGTTATTGATGGTCATTGTTTCAACATTCCTGGCACAGGTTTTACTCGTGTTTCCATTGGACCTAGATTCTATGTGGCATACCTAGGTGGTCCGGGTCATGAACTTGTTATCGATGGTCGTCCACACACTGTCCCTACAACATCCCACCTAACTTTTATAAATGTCGGTCTTCATTCAGTCGGTGTAAAATTTGTTGGAAACGTGCCAAGGAATGTTAATGTCTTACCACCTATTCCTCCTCGTCTACTCAAGTGGGCAGGTCAAGGTTTGTTTGGTTCACCTAAAAATCTGTTTATGGCACCACTCAACCCTATTAAGGAACTTGCACGCCTCGCCGAACATGGATATAGTTCAAGAAACCATGCTTCTTTTGTAAACAGACCTGTAGGCAATGGAAAGCGACCGTCACCTATGCATCCTACAGATGCTCCAAATAGCAGTAACCAAAGTAATGGACAAAAATTACCAGAGTTTGTGAACCCTGATATCAGTAGTAAGAGCGAAAAACCTATACCAAACAAAGATGAGAGCTCATCGAATACAAGTACTCCGCTCAACATAGATGTGCATGAGTTATTCAAGAAGTTGGTTAAAGCTGGTATAGTGCCCAGTACAGAACATGAAAAAAAACCAGAACCTCCTGAGCTAGGGAGCTACAGCTGGGAGCGTTTTAAGAATCCATTCGCTGTTGAGATTGACGAATTATATAATGGTCACCAATGTGGTCAGTGTGGTCTGCGTTTCCAAAGTGACCTTTCACCGGAGTTTGCAAAACACCTTGATTACCATTATATGAAGAATTCAAGTTATGGACAAGAACGACGCAGTCGTAACTTCTATCAGCCATTACAGTATTGGTTAATTAGTGAAATGACACGAGAGGGCGCCCCTCAATTCGAGCCTGGTAGTCCGATCCACGATTTACAAGAGTACAAATGCACAGCATTCGCGGATCCATCGAAAAATGTAAGTCACTTTCAGTTATCACTTTCGTTTTCACTTTTTAACTTCTCACAGGTCACACTCTGGATAACATTTCTGCCTTTATGGAATCCCACTAGACAATAGAGACTCTATAGAACTTGACAAAGTAGTAACTACTTGGATAAGTGCCAGAATGCGTTGTAGAGCCGTAAAGAGATATATGCAGGTATGAACCAGGAAAAGGATTCGAGTATTATCAGCTTCTCGTTGAATACAGATAAGTAAAATAATCGTGAAGAATACCATCCTAGGATCTCACTACTTTTTTCGCTCGTGCACTGAAATCGTATTGCTTTTAATAGTACCAGAAACGTACTATTGATGAAATGAAATTCAGACTGTCACGAAGTGCGCATTTAGACCTTATCGTAATTCTGATATCTCGTAAGTGTCACTAGGTTATCTGTAAGGTTTTTTCATACTCAACAGTTTTATAAATAGTACTCCCTAAATTACCCTAAACCTAATAGAATGCATTTGACCCTGGTAATCCTATCGAAACCTCTGGATAATTATAGATTTTACAAAAAGATTACTTTCTGCTCAGCATTCCTATGTTCTAAGAGTATCGCGTTGTATACAACTGAACTGTTATTTATTTCACAATTCTTAAGACTGTCGTAATAGTTCTAAATAAATTATATTCCCTAGTGACGGTGTTGGAAAATTTTTAGTACCAAGACTTCTATCGCTTTCTAATAAGGCAGATCATATATTATAAAATACTAACAGTTACACTCAGTCGAAATCTAGGGTTCAGCTCTAAGTATTCTCTAGAATGATTCAATGGTATCTTGAAATACGGTTAATCAATGGGTAGTCAGTAGTTCTATGTTTATCGTATCCAACGGTATCTAGAACCAACACATTTTAAATTTCTGGTCGCGAAACGCGATTCTTACTTTCAAGTAACTTGATACTCTGGTGGTTTACATTTTACCGTTTACAAATTTACTGGTTGTTTTAAGCTTCTCATACGTTTTGTAAATTGCGATACCCAGCGTTCTAATTTATTGTCGTTTGTAGATGCTTGGTTAGAATGTAATTGTATTTCTCAGTTTTTAAATTGATCTTAAAAGTCGCAACTACACAATTTTAATTAGCTTCGCTTAGTTTTGGAATTGATAAATTGTTCATTTCCGTAGCTAGCTGTATAAATAGCGGATAATATGATAACTGTGTTTATCTATGTGTCAATCAGTATGTATTAACTCCTTGGTTCATATATGTGTATGGAATGGTAGGTTGTCACTGCTGTGAAGTCCACGATAAGCGTAAACAATTTCTGTTAATGTTAGTTTTCTCTCAGGAAGGCTGCCATTAGAAAACGTTCTTCCATCATAATTGTTATCTTCCCTAAAAAAGAAAACTTGGACAGGCAGTGAGGTTTGGTTTATAAATGCGAGTGGAAATGACTTCGATCTTTCCTGTGTGTGCAGCTGACAAATTTCGTTTCAGAAACTTTTTGTGGTGATTTATAATTTTATTCTTAGCAGACCAGGCGATAACCTGGTCCAATATAGCACCAAGAAATCCTCACGCTTGCGGTATGTACTTTGGAAGGTTATCCAGATAAAAAATCATGGGGAGGGGTGTGGCTTTATGACTCCATTTCCTTTAACCCTTTCTTCAGTATTTCGCAAATTTTATTTAGGAAGTGAAGAAATGCTCAAGAGTACTTTGTATACCAGCCATTTTGGTTGATAACACTCGTCTTTGCAAACAAGGTCAATAGACTTAGTTGACAAACCAAATCACATTACATCGAATCCAGTAGTTACATATTTCTGCTTCCTATGATTAACATGTTAGTAATGCGCTTTTAGTGACTAGGATTATTTATCTCACATGCTAGTTTTAAATGTATTACTCAAAATATTCTGGTGTTTTAAGTTATTTTTTGGAAATATATTAGTGCCTAGTTTACATTGCGATTGCTGTAACTAATACAGAGATTCATTTTAAATTTGGATAACCAAAAGCTAGCGATCGTTTTGTTAGCTCTTTTTAGAGCCAAAATAATGCTCATAGGCGGTACCATATAGGTTTGATGTACTAACCTGTAATCATAATGTGTTGTAGAGGATAATTACATAACTTGATGTTGGAAATAGATGGATACAATTGAGTTAAAGTCAGTAACTCCTTGAACTCTTTAAATACTGGCCCATATCTTTGACTAAACTACTAGCAAAAAGTGTACAACTTTGCTTATTCGTCGACGTCGCTTGGATTCACCTCGTTTGTGATTTGGAATGAACATAGTTTACCTTGGTAAATCTTCTAAGGCTGTTTTTGTAAACCCAGAAGGATATTATTTAGGTTTTGGTGTTCGTATCGAATTGATACGATTTGGTGCTCTAATTCAAATAGTCTCATCTTTCTAACAAACAAGATAAAGAATTCCAGGAATTCATATTACAGACAGATACACTACGTGGGATCTTGAATAAATATTTATTAGTTAAGATTGCTATACTTGCCGCTACATGAACAAGTTCACAGGAGTAGAAATATAATATACGGCTGATAATGAAATGCTGAAATAAATAATTGGTAGAGAAAAGAATAAAATTGGTTACTAAATCACGAGAACTAAGGAAACTATCACAACAATCCACTTAGTCAATACGGTCTACTGATTTACTGTCTTTTTTAGTACCAGTCGGATTGTAGCATGTCTCACTTAAGAGGGGATAGAGAATCGCATCTGAAAAGTTTTAGTGTTATTATTCAAGGAGCTTGTAACACTGTGTTTATTCGACATCGCGAGACGGATTTATGTGATTTAAGCACTTCAGGTCTATTAGGGAGTTTTAATTCAAGAAAACGATTTCCAAAAACCTTAATGCAGAATACGGTAACTAAAAGTATGTTGATTAAAAGTAAAAGATTTGAACAGCTCTAGTGGATACCAGTGGATATGGTTAGCGCAATTTATTGTAACCTCTGACTTCGTTTACGAAATGCAAGTTATCAGAGTTAAATAAGTGACTATAATGTATTGCCAGTGACTTCAAAAGAGATAATTACGTGTAGTGATGATCGATTATGAGTTGAAGAATATTAATATACATATCTCAGAGCGTGTGGTTCGACGTAAGCCAAAAAAGAATAAAGTCGTCACGCATTTGCAATTGCTTTAGGAGGATTTAGGGGACTGAGTAATCGTTTCCTGTACAGATACAATCATTGAATCGTTGAGATCAGTAGTAATAAACGACAGAATAAGCTCTATCCCTAGTCTACACTTCCTAATTATTTCCTGTCAAGAAATGTATTCGGCTCATCAATAATTACTTTAACTAATGGGATATCACCGATAACCTCAATGGTATTTCTCGCCACCTGAGTATTTTCTAACCGGATTTTAATCTTGAACGATATATGTAAGTGTAGACGATAGTCAGGTACCCAAATCAATGGTGCACATGGGCTCCAGTATCCTGCGGGAACAAATGGCGTATGAACCAATCTTTGGTCACCGGCTACCATGGGATTGCATCTCCTTACGATGCTCCACTGCCTTGTGGGTTAGACCTTTAGGTCAAAGGCTCGGGGAGTGGCCCCCTAAGATAACCACCTGCTTCGGTTTGGGCACCCGGGCAGTATCACAGCCCACACACAAACGATGAACTCTGTGTCTATGGCAACTACTTTTCTCGCTCCGAAAAACAATCAATCGATTCAAATAATTATCATTACTATTATTGTCATTATTAATACTATTATTATTACTATTATTGTCATTACTAATACTATTATTATTACTATTATTGTCATTATTATTATTATTTTCCACATTATTCACCCTCTTTTATACTTATACAGCGGCTCGTCTTTGGTGGAAATCCGACTGTATCTAAACGTTCTCGAGTCACTGTCCGGTCGAAAATTGTATGTTACCATCGAATATGAGTACTGAAGCAGTTTTTTCTGAAACCACGTGCGCCATTCAAACTGGCTGCCTTCAACGTTCGCACACTTATGCAGGTTGGTCAACAGACAGGGCTGGCTATGTCTTTGGAAAGTCTTAATATCGATGTCTGCTGTCTATCCGAGACCCGTATTCAAGACTCTGGTGAAGTACTACAAATTCGATCTCCATCTGTCGCTTCGAAAAGCTTGTTTTACGTGCGCTTATCCGGGGACCCCGTGGCATCTTCGTCTGGTCTTGCTGGCGTTGGTGTCGCACTAAGCGCTAGAGCTGAGGCAGCACTAGTCGATTGGATCCCCAATAACAGTCGGTTATGTGCTGTTAGATTAGAAAGTTCCATCAAAGTGAGAAGAAATCGGCGTGAGAAACGATGTCTTTTCGTCATCTCCGCCTATGCCCCGACAGATTGCAGCCCGGATGCAATCAAGGATGAGTTTTACCACCAGTTAACTGTTCTTCTCCAGAAAGTGCGTTCGACAGATATTGTAGTACTAGCCGGAGACTTGAATGCTCAGGTCGGGCGTCTAGGCACAGAAGAGAGTCGTTTAGGTGGCCGATGGGGACTCGTTGGTCGCAGGTCAGATAACGGGGACCGTCTACTGCAACTGTCCACAGACCACAACCTGTTTCTGACTAGCACTAACTTTCGGGACAGTCATCGCCGATGTGCCACCTGGCGTCCTCCCTCTGCATCCCAAGCCTGGACTCAGATTGATCACATCGCGATCAGCTACCGCTGGCGTGGTTGTGTAAAAGACTGCCGCTCCTTTTGGAGTACCTATCTGGACTCTGACCATGCCTCGGTCTGCGCCAATCTTGCCTTACTTTTCAGTGGACAACAAAGTGACCACCACCAAAAGATTGATGTTAGCAAGCTGGTTGCAACTTCTGTTGCAAGTAAGTATCGAACCGAGCTAGCCTCTAGGCTAGCTACTACTCCACCGAAAAGTATAGATGAGCATTGGTTGCAATTGCATGACGCCATGAAAATGGCGGGAACAGTCAGTTGTGGGTTTGCGAAACGTCCCGCTTTTAAGCACTGGGT